AGGCGCGTGTCGCTGTGGTTCCCGCATCCCACCGAACACCACCGGCAGCCGCCGCCTCCATCGCTTTGGTCGCCGGACCGCCTCGTTGCACCGGCCCGTGCGTTTGCGGAACGGGTCCGCTCGAGGGTGTCCGATCTCGGTCCCCGCGACGTTTTTCGGGGGTTGGTGAGAATGGCCCGGGCCTGGGTCTTTTGGTACTTTTCCAAGGACTGCATGGACAGCATCTACGAGGACCGGTGGCACGCCGAGCGGGACTCCGAGGACTTTTTCGGGAGCGGGGGAATGTGGATCTCGAGGGGCGCCCACAAAAACGTCGTGAAGAGGCGCATCCAGCGGTCCAAGCGGAACCGGCAATGGGTCGGGCTCGGATACACACCGCGGTGAGTTGGATTCGTTCGGTGTGTAGCTATTCGTTGCAGAAGTGTATGCTGTAGCAACCTTTTTTTTCTCCAAGTAGGAGAAAAKAGCACGTTTCTGTTATTCGTTGAATACAACTAATAAAGTTCGATTCTATTCGTATTGTTCACCCTTGCTGTTTATGAACCCTCCGTTGTTTCGTTCTCGTTGGTTCTGCATAAAACGACGTTCCGATCGACGATCCAAAACCACGATGCGCAACGCCCGACCCCAACGAACGCAAATGCCCTGCCCACGCACAATGCAATGCAATACAATATAATACAACACAATGCAACACAACACAACACGACACCACACACGCACCGGACGCTTGTCTTGGTCTCTCCAGCCTCGTGTGGCTCGTCGGTGTCCTCCTCCGCGGGACCTTCCAGTGCACGTCAATCCCCAAGGTCTTCAACCCCAGGCTGACCGGATGGGGGGCTGGGACGGTCCTTGGTGCCAAGTGCACCCACCAGGAATGGATCTCCGCCTTTATGCTGGGCTGGTTCGGCACCGAACACTACTGGAAGTTCCTCTTTGGGTGCGACGGACCGCCACATCCCGGGAGGGACGGCTTCGACGGGGTCCCCATCACCATCAACAAGGTGCGGCTCTTTTAGAGGGAACCGAACAATTTTACACGTTTCGGACCGAAAGAGAAAGCACCGCACCGCACCCAATGCCCGTTGGGCAAACACCAGCGAACCGGACCAGACCGGAAGCAGCGGCCGCGCCGAACGGATCCGCTCCACCAAACGAAACTGACAGCCAATTTGAATTATTGTGTGTGGAGCGATTCGATTCGATCCGAACCCGACCGAGAGAAAAAACACCGAGTGCATCTACGAAAATCGCCAATGCCTACAAGAAAGAACGAACGCTCCCAAGTTTTGTTTTAGCGGTTGCGGATGGAGAAATGGATCTTTGTGTTTTGCGCAGTGCGCTAGCATGTTTGTTGCTACTACTAATATATTGTTACATAACCCACATTTCGTGTGAACTAAGCGGGCRATATTTTGKTCACACCCGATTGATGGTCGAACAAATGGTGAGCAGCGTGTTCTCGATCGAGCAAAACACGCCGTCCCCTCTGTTGTGGACCGCCCTGAAAYTATAGCTGTTGCTGTCGTTGCTGTCTTTGCCGTTTCTGCCCGTTCCCTCCCTATAGATCACCGGTCGTTTGTTAGTCCCCGGTGCCGCCTCCCGAAAGATGACGACCCCGTCGTCGATGGTTTGGTCTCCGCCCTGCCCCTCTTCCCCGCAGTGGTCCTGGTCCTGGTCCTCGTACGGATAGCAAACAACCCCGCTGTCGGGGTAGGAATCGCAATCGCAGCCGTAGCCCCCGTCACCGGTCCCGGCGCAGAGGCCCGCTCGATCCTCGGAAACAAACCTCCCGGTGGGGATGCGGTCCCGGATGGAGCGGGGGGAATCCGAAGAGGACGGCGGGGGTCCCTCCCCTTGGTCCGGACCGACAAAGGACACCAGGACGGGGGACCGGCCGATCTTGGTGGCGACGGTCTCGATGGCACCCACGACGATCTCCTCGGTGGCCTCGTCGGGTGATTGGTGATCGCACCGTTTGGCCGGCCTCAGGAGGTGGCGCTTGTGCTTGAACCGGTGCTTGTTCCTGGCGCTCTTGACCACCGGCCGCTCCTGGTAGGCGACAATGTCCATCCCGTCTCGAAAGAGTCCTCCCTCGCTGTGGTGGTCGTTGTGGTGGTGGTGGTGGTGATGCTTGTTGTCTGTTTCGTTGGGTTTTTGATCTCTTTCGTGCTGCGGGCCCTTGTGCGATTCGTGTCGGTCGAATGGCATCGGCCCCGCGCCGGAAGGTTGGTGGTTCCGAACACGAGAGGAGGAGGAGGACGACGACGACGAGGAAGAGCATGCATCGGAGCCATCCGGTGTGTGGTTCGAGCCGCGAAACCGGCTGCGTAAGCCGAGGCGGGCGTTGAGTTTCGGCAGCCGGGCCGGGGAACGAATCCATTGTCGTTTGGGCGTGGTTGGTGTGGCCGCTGTTCGCTTGGGCTCTGGCGTTGGTGGGATTTTCAATTTCAATTGCACTGGCAATGTCGGTGTTCTGGAGCGGGTCATCACTCGCGGCGTTGTGGAAGACGCTCTGGAGGGCGATGCCGGCACTCCCTGTGTGTCCAGTGGAGGAGGAACGAGGTGCGGTTGTTCTTCTTCGTCTTGCTGCTGCTGCTGTTGTGGCAACCGATTTGGGGCCGTGTCGTCTCGGCCACTAGAGTGCTGTTGCAACCGGGGCAGGCGACCCGACGGCAGCTCGTAGGGCCGCGCGAGGTCCCAACGCGGACCACCAACGGGTGGTGGTGGCCGAAAGTCCTCCATCGTGTCTTCCGTCCGGTGTTCTGTTCTGTGCCGTGGCGTTCTGGAGTGTCTGTTTTGGGGTCTGGTGGACAACAAGCTCACGAACCAAATCCCACTGATGCGGTGTTGGTGGTGATTCTTGTGGTTGTTGTTTTTGCTGTTGGTGGTGCTGCTGCTGTTGTTGTAGCTGATGCTGATTCTGCGTTTGTTTGCCGTGCGGAATGGATTCGAGCAGCCCGGTCTGCTTATGTTGCAAAACGACTACGCGACTCTTTGTGCGGTGCAGTGCGGTAGGGTAGGGTAGAGTAGAGTAGGGTTGGGTAGGTACACGAGATGAGATAAGACGAGACCAGCAGCTCCTGCTCTGGAGCATCAGATAGGATGGTGCTGTAGTGTTCTTTCACTGCGGCAGTGTGCTTTTGGTGGAACGATAGTTTAGAGGGAACTTTTGACACGCGCTGCGGTGTGGTAACCCTTATGTGCTTCGAAGCAGACGGATCCTCGTAACCTTTGGACCAGCTGCTCGATCAAAAATCGATTGTATTTGGCTACACGATGCGAAGATCGAAGTACGCGGAACAGATTCATCCATTCTTTTCTCGAAGTACGGTACGGTATAAATCAAAAACCATCGGGGTCGTTTTGCGGTAACATCATATCTTCCGGTTCGTTTCGTTCCCGCCAAGGAGCCGGATGGACGGGATTCGTCCCTCGATCCTATTCGCGCAGACCGAAACCAAACTACGCGCAACCGGGACGTAATCAGGATTACATAGGCGAATCTTGAGAACGTCTCCGTCGAACCGCTCGAACGAGGGTTCGAACCGAGGAATTCGGGCTTTCAAACCTTGTCGGGGGCATAGATATACCACCGAAATACCCACAATTTCCGTGTTGGCAATCCGATGGCTTCGTTACGGGACTAGTAGAATTTTTAAGAGCGGTAGAAGAAAAACACAACGGAAACCTTTACAGAAACACAACGGTAATCGTACGTTTCGTAATTCCCTTAAATAGTTTTTAAGGATTTGAGTTCGGAGTTTGTCGTTACTTCTTGACATCTTTTCTCGCCGTTCGTGACTTCAAGATTTTGAACCTACATACCGTATGGTATGATTGATCTGTATGCCGTACCATACCATATGTATGGCCCTCTTGACACTCGACAGCTGCTCCTAAAAAATACCATTATGTCTCTGAAATACCGGACTTTTGTTACGATGAAATACATGGAATACAAGTACCTTACGTACATTTATTTTCATCGCAAGGATTCASGTACCGGTATGCATCTGATAACCACGGTAACGTGGGGGTTCTCGTATGTTGTCCGGCACTATGATGGTCGTAAGGTAGCTTCCTTGACGATAGGGGAACCTCTGTGCGGTACATCGAGAAGATTCTTTTGTGATGACTTGTGACTGGTGACCCTGTTGAAGATGCCTTCCGATTTGTGGATTAGGGTTCACTAATTTCGCAGATCACATTGCACGCCGAAAGCTTCTTGTTGTTATTCTGGTGATTGTTACCAAGCACACGTTCGTAGTGCGCATGGATRTTCTTGAACATCACGAGTGGCCGTCGGCGATGGAGCAGACGRCCGGYCGGACACAGGTCTTGAACACTTGYCCCGGAGTACAGGGTTCGTTTCGGAGTGTACAACACAAACTGTGAAGCCAACTGTGCAACCTGTCTTTGGGGAGAGACGACATTTCGAAGCCTTTGTGGGAATGCGGATCTCGTCCAGGAGTTTACGAGTCTTCAACATGCGTGTTTGACCTGTCGGTGAAGGCAGACGATAGGCCACACACACACACACACATTTGGAAGCCTTGTACCGGAGTGCATGCTTTGTTTCGGAGCGTGTTGCGTTGTGCCTTGCGCACTGCAGCAGACAAATCCATTGGAGGCACGGGATTGCATCAAACGGCTGGGACACGGCTCCGAATGCCGTGCATCGAGTGTTGTGGAGGGGAGTGGGACTCGGTCCACGAGCAGCAGCAATGGCTGGGACGGTGGTTCGCTGGGCAACGGACGAGACCGGTGGGGGGGGGAAAGACCGTGCGGGGTTCGCGGGTGAACGGCACCGAAACGCTTGCGTACACCGTCGAGATCCGTCCATGGTGGACGCCATTGTTGTGCCCGCACTTCCAGAGAATTCTTCTGTTGTTTGTTACAACGTAAAAGGAAAGCATACCTGAAAGTTTTGTCGTATGAATATCTTCTCTACTATGAATCCGTCGAAGTTCACGCACATAATATCACTACTATTATAATATCAGCATTCGTATGTCATTGCGTAATCCACGCATAAAACACAACTAATCTTTCTTTCGTTCATGTATTGGGAACGATGCCACAAAGTTGAAGATTGAAACTACAATGTTGTACCATGACTTTTGACGGGACTCGCCTGAATACGATATCTGAGGGATGAATTGGATTCGATGCGTTTTGTTGCAAGGAGACTGAGTGTGTCGRTGTCCTGTGCTGTTTTGTTGTATGATTCGCACAACACGAAAGAAGAAACGAACAAACGAACACCATACAATCTCTCGGGTATTTTTTGAACCGCTCGGTGATGTTGCGAGCAATCGTCTCGGCCCAACAACTCGAACATCGACCAGCCAAATGGTTCCATTGGCGGGCTRCGTTCCTTGTACGTTTGTTCCGTCGGCCGCTCGATCCTTTGCTYTTCCTCCGTGTGTCCCAGCTCTGGTATTGCCTTCGCTTGCAGGCGCATGCATTACTTTGTGTCCCTGTGTGGATTTTTGGATTTGTGGATTAACTTGATCCTTCCTCCGCCGATGATGTTGCACCCAATTGCATTCGTCGGCTTCGGTGCTGCTGTACTACCATCGTTGAATTTTAAGTTGTGATCCGGTTCGGCATTTGATCGTCTTTTGATCCAACTAGTACGCTCTCCTCAACACGGAGGAGCTTGGGAGCCCTTCCGTTCCACCGCTTCGAGCTCTTCCTCTCCCATTTGTTCGGTAGCAGCTTTKTGGGGGCTGAATTAGCCTCCGACTGTACCTTTTTCGGTGCCACGATTTCTTCAACGACGTAGAGCAATTGCAGCTTTGATTGGTCCTTGCTGTTTTTCCGGTTGGTCAACAACCTCCGAAGCCCATATTCCTTGCTCTTGTCGTCGGATAACGTGCGCGAAATGTATCCGGGAACGCCTTCGGGGTTGTCGCCACTTCCATCGATCTTCGACGTCGAGGAGGTGTCGGCGCCATCGGTTCTGGTAAGGTCCTTATCGGATTCTCCGTCGGGCTTCTCCCGGCGTCCGAAGGTGGACGATCTCATAAAGGTTTCCAGGCGGGCGAGCCTCTCGCCGAGTTCGGGATTCGGCTTTTGTTGGTTGTGCTTCAGAGAGATCTTTGCGCTGRCGGGGGCTGGCTTTTCCTTCTCGGGTTCGTCTTGCGTTGCAATAAACCGCGCGATAGAAGGGGCTGGCTTTTCCTTCTCGGGTTCGTCTTGCGAAGTCGAAGAGTTCTTTKTGGTTTTGTCCGACCCCTCTTCCCGGTTTGGTAACTGCGAAAGGACGATCCGCACCATCGGCAGGGGCTCTTCRTCTTGCTGACTGATGGTTTCAACGGGCTTGTCGTTTGGTCCATCCGTGCCATTGTTGGTGGCCTGGTCCCAGCTCATTGCCCGGCTCCGGCTGCTGACGGTAGTGCCGCCTTGGGTACAGCTGCAGACCGAGCTGTTCTGGAAGGGTATCCACGACAGCGTTGGATCGTTCCACCAATCATTCCGGCATATAATACAGCCCAGAAGCKTGTCGAACCACGAATAGTGGTCGTCGATAATGATCTTGTCCGAGAGAGCCAGCACATCCTGATCGAACGTCTCGAAGCTATAGGTATTGTAGCTGTAGGTAGAGTAGTCTTGTTCCATCTCGTTTCTCCAGGGGGAAAGTTCGAGGTCGGTCGAGTCCTCGTCTAATGTCGTCGATGCGCTGGAATCGTCGAGAGATGGAATAGTCGAACAGTCCCCGTCGCTATCGTTGTTGTCGTTGTCGTTGTCGTTGTCGTTGTCGATTGCGTCACCGTGGACCTTTTTCTTGTTCGCTTTCGGGGGAGGAGGAGGCAACATAAATTGAAACGGATCGGGGTTCTCTTTCTCTGCGTCGTTCGCTGTTGCTGCGGTTGTCGACGCTGACATGTTTGTTGTTGGAGCAGAAGTATTATCGGACGCAGCAACATTAACAACCAGAACGTTCCCACCGATCGAAATTTCAACCGTCGGTAATAGTTCGGGCTCCTCCAATTTCAATGCTGCTTGATCTTCCATGATTYGATTGCTAATGAGGTACAGTTTGGTTTGATTTTCCTCCCTCCTCGGTCGGTCGGCCGATGGGTGCTTGTTCGTTTCGTTTGTAGTCGTATTCGTGTTCTTGTAAGGTTAATTGGATAATTGTTCTTGATTTGCCAARATGATGAAGTGCCATGAAATCGGTAATTGGCGGAATTGGCAAGAAGAATTCGTACTACTCAAAGTTTTGTAGACTGTGCGTTGCGAAGTTCGTTGCGAACACATCACCGTAGCTGKTGCGTATATTCGTCCTAAGTAACTGAATTATTTTCCACGTCCGGCGACAGTATAACGGTCGGATTACGTTAACAGTTAAATACTAGTTAAATAGGGTGCGACGTACGAGCAATKTACCGTACTGTACGGTACCTTCGGAGTAGCGAACTCGCACTGTGCGAGCTTGAAAACAGTCAAATACTCGAAATACAATTACAGGTACCTGTAAATCCTATTCGAAAAGTCATTCCAACCCGTATTTTAACCACTCATAACGGAATGCATTTCGACAGTTGGAGGGTCAGGGAAAATATTTTCTTCTTTTTACGAAAGAAACTATGGTACAATAATATTTTATTTTCGGAACAAGAAACAATTTTGGATATTACATCATACTCTTAGTCCATACGGATAGGATTACTATTACATACTACTAGTATATATGTTGATGAATGCCTACACGTGTCGAACTATGCGAAATGAAAGTTCAGAAAGAATCCGAAGAAGAAGAATGACATCAAAGAGCTACAGTACTGCACCTGGTATTCGAAGGATCGGGTTTCGACTCGATGGCGAACCCATCAGGCTAGAAGAACGGCAACTGCGCCTGTCAGCCTCGATAAATGAAGTACCGGTAACTACGTATGATACTAAACTGAACCGTGCAGTACGATACGGCACAAGGTGGCTGACACTATCGCGTTTCTGACTGCCTCTACGCTACACGAGACAAGTTTGAGTCTGTACTGTACGTCGTACTCTGCTGACCCTGGCCTTCGTTCGATGAAGCGTGACATACTTCAAACTACCGAAAAAAATACAGTAAATATCGTTGACTGTTACAAAAAATCAAAAACCAAGTTCTACTTTTCGTTCCTCTTGTCGTTKGAGATTCATTCCTCATTACAGTAATTACTACCGTCTGTCACACTGTCTGTCTATGCCGTATCAAGTAAGGTACCAGGTCAATGCGGAAAGGTTCAGGTTCTCCATTGCCACCTTCGAATACATYGGTGGATTGAGGCATTTCATCTAACGACCAAGTGTTCATCGGTTCCCTCYACACCTGTGACATACCATAATCTCTGTTGCCATTTGCTAGATCCAAACAAGCAATCGCCAGTAGAATAGCTAGGGGTGTAGCCGGGTTGCCTACGATGAAGACCCACAACGACAACTTCGACCACGTGGACGACTTCTCTCATCGAAAGCGGGCCGCTAAGAATAACAARAGCTGCACTTCGGTTCCCGGTGTTCTGCTACTCGGATGCATAGCGGTATTGATGGCATGGAGCAAGGGCAACGGTTCGGGAAACAATTCTCAGGGATCCATGTCTCCGATCCTTTGCGTTCACGCCTTGATCCCTTTCCAAAACCAAAAGACGAACAACGATCGATTAACCAGTCGACACCGAATACAGCAGCAGAACATCCATGCGGGTGGCCGAATACGACCGAGCCGAACCAACTATCACACCAATGCGAGGAGTTACGACACAGCTTCAACTCCAASAACAACGAAATGGAAGACCGAGACTACGTCTTCCCTGTTCGCCACAGTGGAAGACAACACCAGTCCACAACACAGCAACAATGAAGATTCCGGCGGACCTTCCTTTCCAGAGCCGAGCCCTCGACGGACCCGCCGCGTKGACGATATTCTGTACGGAGAGGCAGACGACTTTACAAACCGGGACCGGGAGGACATGACGATTTCGTCGCTGGAATCCTCCCTCCAGAAGGAAAAGGAACGCTCCAATACACTCGCGATCCGATTGGCCTACGCCGAGAAGGTGATCGCCGAGCAAAAGGCGCGTCTCGAAGACAAACGGTCCTCCCTTAACRCCAARAACCAGGCCCTGACCGAAACCAGGCGGAAGCTGTCGGATCTAGAACGACAGCTGAATCTTCAGCAGCAGAGTTCTACCAAACTCCCACCCAAGTCCTCATCCCAAGCGACATCTCCTCCGTGGKTGGCCAAGAAACCCCCGCTGACCTCGAATGAACGGCAGTACCCCCTCCTGGAGAACTGGGCCCTAAATCCCAACACCGGAGAAATCAGGGCTACGGTTACATGCCACCCCTCAATCCCCGACGGTACCACAATTGTAACGTCGGGACTGGACAAGCAATCCTTTCAGAAGGCCCACGATCCAAACTTCGAATTTATGGAGGGCAAACCCGCCAWTGTCGTGACGACCCAAACGGGATCCAAGTACCAGCTGGGGGTGAAGAAGCGCGTCGCCCCAGCAGCCGAAATCGCCAACCTTCAACCGCCCGCGGTGCGGCGACCGGCTGTCGGATCGCCTCCGCTGCAATTCCAGCAGCAGCAAACACCACCGACACCGCAGCAGCAAGCCCAGCAGCAGCAACAACAAACACCGCCGCTGCACCCCTCGAACGAACGCTACCCCGATCTGGAATTCCCCCTCACGGGACAATCTATTTCCAACGGAYTTGGTACCAAGTACCTACTGGCGGGATCTCCGAAGCGCAAGCCATCGGGGCGCTCGGAAATTATCATGGGCTACAAGTGCAACGAGCAAATGAGCMTCTGCGATGTTTCTACGCCCGTGGTGATCAAGCTTTCGACGCACAAGGAAAAGCTCCTTCGGGAATACAAAAACTACCAAAAGATCCAGGACTCCATCGAACAAAGAAGGGACGGCAAGCGGGGGGGCTTGTTTGGGGGTATCTTCGGTGGTGACGACAGCAGCAGCAGCGATTCATCGCCATCGCTGCTACCTTCTTCTTCCCCAGAGGATCCATTTGTTCTCTGCTACGATTTTTTCCCCGTGTGCCAAGGGTCGCTGAAGTACGCCCAGCATTCGGCACTCGTCATGGAAAAAGGGTACGAAGACCTCAGAGATTTTGAATACCGTCTCCAGATAATGGACGATGCAGAATATCCGGTGCCCACCACCATTGATCCTGCAGTGGTCCAAGCTGCACTGAAGGTGGCCGCCAAGGGATTGCAGACGCTGCATAGCAAGGCGAAGGTAGTCTATACGGATCTCAAAGCGGAAAACCTCATCTTCATGGAACCCCAGGACCAGCTGGAGCCACCGGCTATTGCTACCATCAAGGGAATCGATTTGGAATCCTGCATACCGATCCGGGGCAACCCCTTGGACTACACACCGGAGGCCAGTCCGCCGGAATTYGCCGTGTATCACCTRCAGGGAAACCCCTACGATTTCGTCCTTGACTACTCGTACGACGTGTGGTCCTTTGGGATGCTGGCGTACGAACTGGCCACCGGCAGGCCCTATTTYCGCGGGAACACGCCCGAAGAAATCATGCACATCCTKGGGGATCCCAGCTTTGTTCCGCCCCAGCTGTTTCCAGAGGGTGGGGCAGCCCGGGGGGATCTTCCCGATCTCGCGGACCTGGTGCGGTCCTGCCTACAGGTCGATCCGAGGCAGCGCATCTCGGTGTCGAAAATCCTCAAGCACCCTTACTTTCGCAACCCCATTCCACCACCGGGTGGAGGGGCAGAAGAAAGCGATCTCGATTCGCCGTTCAATGYTCTGGACCAGCAGCAGCGACTGGGTGGGACCTTTTGGTAAACGAGCGAGCAAAAAAGCGACCGCCATCACACGCCGTCCAACCATCCGTTTGCACTGACGCATTTASTGGGAGGATTTTTGGACGAGTCCAACTTGCATCCACTGCGAGAAAATTTTTGTGAGGYCGATATGCATGTATTGCCGCTCGTTTGTGGACACTGTGAGTTTGTAACATTAATCGAGTAAGGAACTATTAAACCATCTACTACTGTCAGCTCTTGAGGAAGAATTTTTTGGTCTCGTGTTGGAAGTCTGTTGTAGCAGTGTGCTAGCTGCGATTGATTTGGTAGAAACCGTCTTCTTGTTGCATCTAGTACAGTTCTGCGGACCTGCAAAATGCCGTTACTACCTAGGACGAGTGCTGTTCACATCTTGAGGGAAAACTTTGCTTCCGTTTTTTTCGGTGTTCTGAACCAAACAAAAGGATTGCTTTTTGGATTCCACTCCAAGAAGTCATGGTAAGATGCTGCTATTTTTGTCGCATGCTCTGTTTTGTAATATGTTTTCATACTAGCAGTGTCCATTTTCTGGATTAGATTGAAGGGTATTGATATTGCTCTCTCTGAGAAACTACTGCTGTGTTTTGGTTTGTTTGCATAATTTACATCAGCTTGATCTTGGAGTTACAAGTGAGCATCAGGGTCAGAATCAGACAAGTCAAAATCAGAATATTCCCATGGGGGACTTCACCCCAACATGGTTCCTGCTTATCATTGATCAAGCAATTCAACCTTGCCATTCACTATCTCCTCCACCATGTTTCAGATGGGTCAATCACTACTATTTGGAACTGGAAAGCCAAAAATATAATATCGTATCAAAAAGTCCTCCTCCTCTGCAGCTGTTGACAGGAAACAATGAGACTTCTTGAGAGCTGCAGAAATAATTTGGACTAGTATTCTTTTCCTTGTTTTGCATAATATTAAGGGTATTATGCATGTCTCATTTTTGGCCCTGGAAGAAAGAAATAACCCAAAAATCAAGGTGGCTCAACCTTGACCATTACTGATGCAGACTACTANGGGTATTATGCATGTCTCATTTTTGGCCCTGGAAGAAAGAAATAACCCAAAAATCAAGGTGGCTCAACCTTGACCATTACTGATGCAGACTACTACTACTACTAAGAATAGTAATAGTCATACTACAATGTGGCGTCATAGCAAATATATGAATGAATCAATGGTAAAGAATGTATCCAAAGAATTTTTTCTTCTGCACTAGTGACATTTTCATGCCCTCTCAAAGAAATGTTTGATGCCAGACACATGGCCAATATTTCTTGCTGTGATACTGGAAGAGCTCTGGTATTACTACTAGCAATGGTGGGAATATTGACTAGTACTAGTACTACTAGTAGTATTAGAAACAAAAAATGAAGATATGATAATCTACACAATACATTTCTTTTTCTGGCCCATAATGTCCCCATCTCTACATGATTATTTATAGTTTGATTTTAACCAATGACTGTGTGGTGATGGTACTACTACTACTAGTAGAAGAACATGCAAAAACAAAACTAGTACTAGTACTAGTACTAGTACTACTAGTACTACTGGAACACCATGCGAGAAGTAATAAGAAACATTTAAATAGTTGTTTTGCATTATTTCTATTTGTGTGGCTGGAATAGCCATTGAAAATGGCTTTTACTACCAGTAGTAGGACTAGTAGTTGTAGTAGTGTACTACTACTAGTAGAGTATTTTTGTTCTTCAAACAACAAGGGTTTCACCAGTAGTACTCATTTTGATTTAAAATATTTGTACAAACTAGTACTCCTTGAAGCAAAAAAAGATTAAAAATTTTATGACGTTCCTGTGATTCTCTTCAGTGCAGGGAACTTCCATGCTTCTTGTTACTATTGGGCATGATTTTTGTTCAAACAAGAAGTAATTGGTAGCTAGTACTTGGTACCAGGTGCTACCATTGTTGCAGTTTTAAGCATTAGTAGTAGTATGAACTCTACACACTCACTACTACTTCAACTCACAAGTAACTTTCTCCCATCTTTGCCATGAACAAATCCCCCTCCTTTTTTTGCTGGATACAGAATAATCCTGTCTGAACCTGTGTAGCAAGTAGTAGTAGTAGACTGCAGTGCATGCAAGTCATACTTACTATGACACCCAGCTCTGATGCTGTTTCCTCATTTGAGAACATGAAGAAAGAACTCATTGATCATGCATGGCATCGCTAATAACAAGTCATCTTATCTTTACCCAGATAAATTGGAATCTCATTGTCACCAGAATTCAACCCTCAAGAGTCCATCCTAAAAGCAATCTTCTTGCACAATATTTTTGAAGACCATGAAGAAGCCCAGACCACCCCCAAAGCCATATTTTCCTGTTCTGACTCTTCAATTTAGAAGGACAAAAAGCAATCAGTTTTCACAATTGGTGAGAGCATCTGCTGCTGGTTAGTACTATATTAACATATTCAGTTGGAACAGGACGTGGATGAGTAGGTGATGCTAATGCTTACAAACATGATTTTTAAGTTAGGTGATTACAATCAAAAGGGATGGTTTTCTCCCTCACCCCTAGTATTTCTTGGGGCTGGTCTTCCTTGATGAATATTGATGGTTTCTTGTTGTGCATTCCCTTTGTCAGGAACAAAATCCTGAGCAAGACAATATGCCACATCCATTTTGATGACAATAGAATCCAAGCCAATCACACTGATGAGGAACCCCTCTACAATAGTATCAGGGCTATGATCTAGAAAATCACTAATATTCTTCATCTTTGTAGTAGTGACTGGCATACTCCTCATGCTGACCTACTAGTACTATCTGTTGATGAATTTTTGATTTGTCCAGGAGATTTTTCAATCAATTCGCATAAATAGGTGGGAGTATCTTGATATTTCCTTCTAGTTATTTGAGACCATACTGCTCCTAGTAGTGCATAAATGCTACATAATTGCCACCATTACCCTTGCATGTGACAAGGAGTTAATCAAGAAGGAATGAAAGGTGTACTACAAATCAAAACAAAATAAGAGAAAGAGGTTTCAAGCTCCTGCTCTTGCAATTCCATTGATGACCAAAGGCATTGAAATGAATTGAAAAGCCTATTTGGTAAAGTTTCTGAGCCACAAACAAAGTGGAACCTCACCCTTATATTACTGTACATACTGAAAAAGTACTAGCAGTAGCTTGCTCATGGCCACCACATGATGCAGAGAGATGGTGTACTACCAGAAAGTATGAGTTAGGAAGAAGCAAGGCAAACATTATATCCTGCCCATCTGGTGGTGGTAAATGCCAGAATTGAAGGAGGGGGTGTCACCAACAGGATTAGTACTAGTACTATCTAGATTTCAAGCAGCCAATGGTTGCAGATGTTCTTGCTGCAATATTGCTGTATGTAAAGAAAATCGAAATAACTTCAATCATTGTCAGGTGTGATGAATATTTTATGAATCAGTATATTTATGTTTGTTACTATGTTTTCTTCTGCTGATAGTGTTTCTGTAATACTGAATGGGATGAATAATTACTACGAAGAAGTAGCGGAAAAGTCCTGTAGTACTAGTAGCAGCAAAAGTATTTCAAAAATGTTTTCAAAATTATGTGGGTGACAACATTTGTTTTCAGTATGATGTTGGAGAAAGTTAAGTAGTGAAAGAGATTCCTCTAAACTGGATAAAATAACAACAATGGTTGAGCCTCTTGAACAACAACAAGAATGGCAACTAAAAACAAATGAAATTCGTCATACCACCAACTCCACCACCAATGACCACAAAAACACCAGTCCCCTTAATATTATTACTTTCCATTCTTGTTTCACTATGCCATAATACTACGTGCAGATATTGGTGGTAAATAAAAGAATTGATAAAAACAGGCAAAATTATGTTGATAAAGAAAAATTGCTCTACATGAAGGATATTTGTACTATAATACTACCAGTACTACTCAAACACAGAGAAGTATCTCTAGCACAAAGAATTTTGAAATTTTCTTTCTCTCTTCTTCACTACTAGTACTGCCCCCACTGCTATTAAAGTGACTGTATTAGTAGACGACTGTATTAGTAGTACTAGAGGAATGTTCAGCTCTTGGAGAATATTTTCTAAAAGGTGCAGCAGAAAAATGCAAAAAATCAGCCTACTAGTAGTACTGCTGCTGGTTCTGAATCATCACCAATAATAAACATCATGAGCAATTAGGTGGTTTTCAGTACTACTAGTAGTACTGCTAGTACTTCAAATATACTATAAGAAAAGAAGCTGTGGCTCATCCTCGTCATGCTGTTGTATTGTATGTTATGCATGCAACGCAACATAGTACTACTACTAGTAGTAGTACTAGTGCCGGAACCCTTCTTCTGTTGTGCAAAAAATAAGAACAACAGCAACAAGACCTCAACAAGAAATTCAATATAATCTTTATTTAGTACTCATACTAACAAGAATGACAATTGAGAAGTACAACCAGTACTTCTATTAGTAGTACTGATATTACCAATACTATTCTTCATACTATTACTATATTACTATACCAACTAGAATTTTTATTCAACTTGCACCGCTCAACAAACAATGTGCTGGTCTTGTTAGTAGATCCAGACTTGGACTTGCCATCATAGTACTAGTAGCATGGGTCAAGATCAGATACTTGCAATCATGCTGCCCAGCACCAGCAGCATTTCAAATTATTTAATCAGCCCGCCATTGGTTTTTGCACTAGTAGTGGTGGCTGGTGCTGAGGTGTTCTGGTGGGCTCCGCAATGGAGTTTGATTGCTTTCTTGTTCCTCTCTGTCAGGTTTTTTACATGGTTTCAATCACTATCATCTTAGTATTTGATGGATTAAGAAGAGGTAACAAGTGTCACCTCTTTCACCAATCAGTATTCTTTGGATTGCACTTGTTGTTGTTGACATTGTCCTCTTGTCTAGTAGTACTCATATTAGTAGTAGTATTCGAGTACAATTAGTACAGTTAGTACTAGTACCACTAGTAGTAAAACTACTAACAACACTGCTGCTGCTACTGCTGCTACTAGTACTAGTACTACTAGTAGTACTAGTACCACTGCTAGTAGTAAGAAAAACAATGGTTGTCGATGATGCTCAGATGATGCAGCAAATAATGAAGGAGCAGCTTGTAAAACAGGAGCAGCACAGTGGATGACAAAAACAACAGAAGCCACCAGTACTAGATGAGTTGACCTACTTCAAAAAAGAAACAGAAAAAG